TCACAATGTCATTGAGGTGGCTATTATTATTATCACCGTCACTCTTCAGGTGAAAAAACTGAGGTGCAGACAGGCAAAGCGACTTGCCAGGGTCACACAGCTAATGTGTAGAGGAGCCAGAACATGAACCTGGGAAGGGAACTCCTCCTAGGGGAGCAGGACTGGCTCTGCAGGAGCTCACAGGCATGCAGAGAGTTAAACTTGTCAACAGGGACCTCTGAGCCCAGGTGGAATGAAAGCAGCCAAGTTCATGCTTCCACGATGGCAGGGGAAGTAAGAGGAACATCAGGTCTCTGGGGTCAGACCAAGGATATCCCAGCACCAGGAAGCTGCCTCAGACAACTTCTCCATTCCCACACCTCTCAGGTTCTGTGCTGTGGTTTGTGAGCACAAGAGAGGCAGCTTGCAGCCAGGGTGGCAGGCTGAGCCCTGGGTGGCGTGCCTTTCAGGGGTCACGGTGGCTGGGAGGCTCTGTCCTCAGCCAGGAGAGCCCAGCAACGCCCTCTGCTTCATGAACTGGCCCCATGACAGTCTCCAGCCCCAGAAGACTGATGAGAGCCCACTCGTTCCGAGGGACCAGGATGCCCCAGTCCACCATCCGCACACCCTCTATCAAACATCAGAAGCCCTGGGAGGCTGAACTGGTGACAGGCAGGGGCGGGGTGAGCCGGGGAGCAGGGCAGAGATGCAGGCAGGCTCTGAAGGCAGCAGCTGGCAGAAGGGGGGGCAGGAGAGCAGGGAGGGGACCCCCCAAGAGCTCTGAGACCCTGCCCTCGCACTCCCTACTTGGAGGGCAGGTGCCAGCCACTGTGCAGCTGTTCACGGCCTCCTGGGCACCCTTCTTCACCAGCTTCATTTCCTCAAAGACTTGCATAATCCTGCCCTGACCCAGGAGAAACCCGGAGCCCTCAGGGCTTTCCAGGAAGACTCATCTCACCCATTGTGGTACGAGTTTTCTAGACAGAGGGTCAGACAGCAATTTTATTTCTGAGCACAGGGGCTCTTCACTTTACCTCTGGCTACCAGCTGTATTCTCTATATATTTGCTTTCTTATCTTCCTTTGGTTTTTAAGGTGGCAGGGTTGTGCTGTGGTTAGGAGCACAGACTGGGCATTCATTTGACACAGAGTCAAAATCCCACTTGACCACTTAGGAGCCGTGAGACCTGAGAGTCTCTGAACCTCTCTGCACGTCAGTTTCCCCTTCTGTAAAATGGGTGTAGTATCCCTGCCTTATATCATTTCCACGGGACCCAGCCCAGTTCAAAATTCAATATGCTAACATTGTTCTTGTCTCCACTGAACAGAGGAATGGGGACTTTGGCTCAGGGTCACTAGTTACCTAGCATTCACTGTCCACTCCTCATAACTTCTCTGGGTGCTTCAGGAAGCCCAGCCCAGCCCAGCATGGCCTTCCCCAGGGAGTGGGCAGAAAGTCAGGTGTGGGAGGCAAAAAAGCTGGGGCCCTACACAGATGTGGGCTGGACTTAGACCTTTTCTCTGAGGAGGCTGGTTTGGTCAGCACTCTATGTCAGCCTCCCAGGGTACCAGTAGGAGACCTGAAGCACAGGAAAAACAGTGGCAGGCTCAGGTGGACAATTGGAGACTGATGCAGGCTGCTTGGCAGAGTTGGGGGTGAAGCCTCTCAGTCTCTGGTCTCGTCCCCAGAGAGAAAAACTTACAGAAGATCAGGGTCCCCATCAGAAATAGGCTGAGGGTCTTCTAAGAAAGTTTCTTAAGAGCTAGATGGTGATCCTAAGGCAGAGCCTAGCCTGCCTGTGATGGCAGGTGAAGCCATCACATTGGAGGTACACAAGTGACTCAGTCCACCCCAGGCATCTTGGACAAAGAAGGGGGCAGCAAGATCAAGTCCACTCCCCTCAGTGGGTAGGGGTCTGGCCCAGTTCTAGGGTGTGCCCAGGTCAGGACTAGCTCAAAGACCAGTGGGGCTTTGGCCTACAGCTTTGCAGAACAGGGACAGGCAGGCACCCACATCCTGAGGCAGCTCTGATTATTCCCATTTTACAGTGGAGGAGGCTGGGACTCAGAGAGGTTGAGTGGTTTGCTCCAAAGTCACACGGCAGGTGAATAGTAGAACTGGGGCTGGGATCCAGTTCAGACACCCGACTGCTTCTGAATTGCACGTCTCTCCCCCATGCTGCCTGCATGGTCTGTACACGGTGGGGGGCAGTAAAGGGGAGAGTAAGGGGCCAAGGAGGGCCAAGGGAAGGGTGCAGAATCAGGGGAGGTGGTCACGTGGGCACTCCCTGATGAGCAAACATGGAGAGTCTAAGGGAATTCCAGAGGCACTGGGAAGCAAGTGGACATGGAAGACTCTGGGTGCCCCTTTAAGCAGTATAGACTATGAGCAAAACTTCTTCCTCCTAGCTTGAAACCTAGGCAAAGCCTGCCAGCCAGGCTGACTAGCACATAGTAGGTGCACAGAAAATTGTTGGCTGCTGGGACAGAATCTGCTGTGTGTTCACCAAACCCTGTTTCCTTATTCTCCTGGAGACATGGCTAGAAGATCAGTCCCAGTCTCCCTTGCAAAGGTATGACCACAGTCTGTGTCCTGGTCAGTGGAATGTGGGCAGAAGTGACCCATGCCACTGGCAGGTCTGGCCTTCAGAAACTTCCCCTGCAATAGAGGGGACTCTGAGGGTCCAGAGAGGTATTGCCCAATACAGTAACTATAAGCCACATGTGACCCTTGACACTTGAAACACAGAAAACTGAATTGACATGTGGTATGTAAATATACACCAGATTTCAAAGATTTATTAAAAAAAAGAAACAAAACAGGATATATGGGGCCAGCCCATGGCTCACTTTGGAGAGTGTGGTGCTGATAACATCAAGGCCACAGGTTTGGATCCCATATAGGACTCTTAGCAGTGGATCACTCAGCTCATGTGTCGATGAAGAACGCAGCTAGCTGCGAGAATTAATGTGAATTGCAGGACACATTGATCACCAACACTTAGAACGCACTTGCGGCCCCGGGTTCCTCCCAGGGCTATGCCTGTCTGAGCATCGCTAAGAGTTTTTAAAAAAACAAAACAACAACAACAAAAAAAACAGGATATAAAAGACCTCATTAATAAGTTTTATATTGATTACACATTGACAAAATATTTTGGATACATTAGGTTAAATAAAATATATTATTATAATTAATGTTGGGCTGGCCCGTGCCTCACTTGGGAGAGTGCGGTGCTGATAACACCAAGGCCATGGGTTCGGATCCTATATAGGGATGGCCAGTTCGCTCACTGGGTGAGCATGGTGCTGACAAAACCAAGCCAAGGGTTAAGATCCGCTTACCAGTCATCTTTTTTTAAAAAAATTAATGTTACCTGTTTATTTTTACCTTTTTTAATGTGGCTACTAATGCTTTTAAAAATTACATATGTGGTTTGCATTATTGCATATCTGTTGGTGAGCTCTGATTTAGGGGGCAGAGCCACAAGATGGGAGGGGCCTGAGTCACTGTGTGGAGGAGAGCTGCCCGAAAAGGCCTTCCAGAGTTGTACAACCATCCTATAAGCAATTTCAGAGCATTTCTTCACTCTCAAAAGAAACCTCATATGCATTAGTAGTCACTCCCCATTCCCCACTCTCACCTCCAGCCCTAGGTAACCTTGAATACCATGCTGAACTGTTACGTGAGCAAGAGATAAACTTCAAAAGGTCGTAGCAGTTAGCCTCCTGTGACAGATTAAAGATGGTCACAAATTGTGGCTATCAAACTCCCACCATCAGGAGGTGGAGTCTTTGTCTCTTCCCCTTTAATCTGGGTGGGCTTTGTGACTGTTCCAAGTCTCAAAAGATTAGCAGCTTTCTGGATCCTAAAACACTTGGTCTTGGAGCCCTGAGCCATCACATAAGAAGTCTGACCATACCAAGGCCACCATGCTGGAGAGGTCACATGGAGAGGCCCTGGGACTACAAGAAGAGAGAGAGAGATATGCCCAGCCAGGTTCCAAATGTCCCATCCTAAAGAAGGATGACTGTTTCAGTCATCCTAGCTGAGACCCATACATTATGGAGCAGAGGTGAATTTTCCCTGCTGTGCTCCATTGGAACTCCTGACCCATGAGACATGACATAAAATGTTGTTCTAAGCCACTAAGTTTTGGGATTTTTTTTATGTGACCACAGAGAACCAGAACAACTTCCTATTAATACAGCTCCCTTCCAATCCCTACTTTTTTCAAATTCCTGGACACCTCTTGGGGAAGTTTCAGGGATTTGGTAAACAAGCCCATCGCCCTCTCCATGGTTTTGTGGACCTGAATCATACACCCTCCTCCAGGCTCATGGCCCGAAGACAGTATCAGCCACCAGGCCCATTCATTCATTTACCCACTAAATCAGGTTTGGTCCTTCACTCTGCCATCCTTTCCTTTCCTTTCCACCAGAAAGTTTTCAAAGACCAGGATTCTCCCCCCAAAAATAACATTCCTCATTCTTCCAGGATCTGGGGACCCCATAGCTCTTCCAATCAGCAGTGAACTTTTCTTCAGGGCAGCCAGCCCTCTGGAATAAACCACTGGCTTTATGAGGCCTCAGTGTCCCCCCTTGGACAATCCCTACCAGCTTTTCCAACATTGCAGGGAACCCCAGGGGCACCAAAGAAGCCAGCCTTCTTGCCTGACAACAGAAAGTGCCTGCTATGGACTGAACTGTGCCCCTCCCCCAAATTCATATGCTGAAGCTCTAACCCCCAACGTGATGGTATTTAGAGGTGGGGACTTTGGGAGATAGGTTTAGATGAGGACATGAGGGTGGGGCCCTGTGATGGCATGTGTGCCCTTATTAAAGACACCAAGAGCTCCCTCTTTCCGCCCCACACACACCATGTGAGGACACAGTAAGAAGGTGCCAAGCCAGGAAGAGAGCCCACATCAGACACCAACCATTCCAGAACTTTGATCTTGGACATCTAGCCTCCAAAACTGTAAGGAAATAAACTTCTATTGTTTAAGCCACTCAGTCTACGATATTTTGTTATGGAGGCTCAAGCTGACTAAGACAATGCCCCAGTGCCCAGCAGAGGTCCCCAAGCCATGTCCACCAAGAAAGATTGGTGGGCTTAAACCACTGGGAGGATTTGGGCCCCCATCAGTGGTACCCTGAAAGACACCCGGGTCAATGCAGTATCCATCACTGAGTGCCTTGAGTCAGAAGCTGTTTATTAGCCAGAGCACACCAAGACCAGAATATACTTGCCAAAAATGGAGCTCTAAGAAATCCACAGAGTTGTGTGGGCTTTAAGAATATATTTTCAGCTGCAGAGACAAAGATGGTGTATTTGACATGTCCCCAAACCTACCTACCGATCTATCTATATAAAATCAAACCCCCTTCCATTAATTAGTGCTTAACCTTAGCTTCTTTTAGTGAAAAACAATTTTACCAATCAAGAACTCCTGGAATGGATGGCTTATCTCAGAGCCAGCAGCTTATTAAATAAGGCACCACATCACCTGTGACAATGTGATTGCCCTGCTTTCATGAAATAAGGAGTACAGTCGGGCTCTCCAGGAGCCAAATGTAAATCTTTTTTGAGTTAAACAAAATTTCTAAAGCCTGGAATTACTGCCATACAATGTTTTCTAAGTACCTAGTGTCAGAAGATACTTTTGAGAATGTCAGCTGGGTATGACCCTTGACATGGCATCTGTTCCAAGATATGCTGGAAAGAAGGGCTGTCAGACAGAGGAAAGAAGGAGAAATCTCCCAAATCCAGGAGCTTTCCATTCCTATGTCTCAGCCTATACAGATGATGGAAATTCACCACGGACTATAAATGTCTTAGTGCAAATGAGGTCTGATTGCCAGGGGCGGGTGCGCCCTGGGGAAGCCTGATTCTAGATTGTGACTTTATTTGACAGACCTCGTTGGGAATGGGTTTGGAACAGGCCAGCCAGGCGGCTGCACCCAGCACAGATGGGAGCCATGAACACTCGGCTTGTTTCTCAGGTCCCAGCCCAGACATTGCTACGTGCTGTTAAAGGGTGACTGGGGAGGACTGGGCTTCTGAAGAGGGATAAATGCTCCACGTAGTTGTAACCATGACTGTGGCATAAGGCTTAGAGTGCAGAGTCTGAAGTCAGTCCTTGCTCTGCCTCTTAACCTAGGCAAGTTACCAGACTTTTCTAAGCCTCAGTTTATCGACCTGGAAAATACGATCACTAATGGTACTTACTTCATAGATTTGTTGGGAGGATGCAATGAGATGCTGCATGGAGAGACTTTTAGCACAAGGCCTGGCATTTGAGCATCCAATAAAAATTGGTAGAGAGAATGACGAAGGTGATGATGGGGCAGCAGGGGCTCAGATGTGGGTTGTGCAATCTCACCCATCCCTCAAGGGGCTAGGAGAAGAGAGAGCCCTCTCTAAAGAGAAGAAACTCACCCTGCCACATGACACCCACTCTCCACAACCTCAGCCTTGATTCCAGAAAGCTTCACCCCTCTAGTTTACAACAGCCCAGATTCCAACTAACTAGTACAGACTAGACTGAGTTTGGTGCTCATCAGCGAGACCTAAGAAAGTGGCAAAACAGAGGCTACTAGAGCAAAGTAGAATGATCTCTACCCCAGATCTGGGCCTGCCTTCTGTTGTTCCCACTGCATTATCTCCCACGAGTGCCTCGCCTTCCTTCTCCAGTTACTCTCCCATTCCCCAGCAACTCCCTCTCCCCAGCTACTTCCCCATTACCTTACCTCTCCTTCATTATCCAACTCCCTGTCACACACCCAGTGATCATTCATAACCCAGCTGCTCAGCCACTCCCCAGCTTCTTCTCTTATCTGGGGTTATCTCCTAATTTAGTACCAGCTTGGTACAATCAAGTGAATCCTGGCTTAGTCAGGGAATATCTGTCTTGGTCATATACATCAGCAGGAAATTGTCTCTTCCTGGACCAAGCAGCTGATGTTTAGAGATGGGATGTCCTGCCTATTATCTTTGAGGGCTTTGGTCGGGCCACAGGGACAAGGAAGGCAGAGCTCACATGGCACATGCCATGGAACACTGCCAGGCAGAGCCAGGAGTCTCAGCCACAATGGGAGGATCCCAATGGGTGGGTGGCGTGACCTTGCTGCCACTCTCCTGACTTTAGGTGTAATGTTCCTCCCTCACCAGGGCCCCACCCTTACCCAGCCCTGCAGTTTGGGACGTTTTCTCTGGAAAGCTGGGAGAGCTTCATTATGGATCCGATTAAATCATAAGGAATCTCATCCCAAGCTTGCCAGAAAACATGTTATTTTCAGCGTCCGTGGGCAGCAAATGGAGAAGAAAGTCATGAGCCGGAAGGAATGACTGTGTAGAAACTGAGCCCATTCAGGGGAAGGTTGGCCACCATGTCTCCTTGACAAAGTATTAGGTGCCAAGTAACTTGGGAGAAGTTTTATGAAATATTCTAGGGTTTGTTTTTAATAACAAGGGAACAGATTAACTCCAAAAGGTTAGAGAAAGCAATTTACAGAAGTTAAATAGGGTTCCTCTAAAGAGCTTTTGTAATTAAGATGGGTTGTAGACACTGGAATGACTCAAGCCAACCAAAACGGATATTCATGGCTGCCTTAATAGGTGAGACAAGGGAACCAGGAAATCCTGGAAACTGTGGGGTCTATGGTCTCATCAGAAGTTCTTGAGGAGGTAGGTCCTTTTGTTTCAGGGACTGTGAAAGGGCTCCCTGATACAAGCAGGCTATAAGTCATACATGATACACACATGGGCTGGCCAAAGCCTTCCTCTTCCCACTGGCTTACAATGAGAATTTCTGCAAAAAGGTGCCAAATCTTTCATACTGTTATGTAAATGACTACACTAAGAATATTCTTATGTGAACGACTGAAAAGAGGCTGGCATTGAGTAAATAGAGGGGGAGAACATGGGGGTAGTTATGGCAATTGGAATGAGCAGAAGAAGGATTAGAAAGAAAAAAGAGATGTTAACCTTGCCTCTGGTCTACTGTAACTGAGGCTGGTGGCAGATGATAGTAATAGCAACATTGACCATGTTCACTGTCCATCCTTTATGTCTATGAATCTCCCAAGCTTCCCCCTACCCCAAACACACACATTATTCTCTTCACATTGCAGATAAAGAATCTGAATCCAAAAGACATTAAGTAACTTAACCAAGGTCACAAAATAAAGATGAAAACTTAGTTTTGTCTGACTCCATGTTCGTAACCTCCAAGGTCTACTGTCTCTCTGCAAAGCTTCCCAACCCTTCCACTGGGAGCCCCTTTATATTCGGTTTCCCCTACATCATCCACATTTTGGAAGATCTTATTACCGAGCAGACTGCATTTGTGAACTAATAATTTGTTCCATCTGGCTGATGATTACTTTTCTATTCCTGTTTCTGTTTCACCATTGATCCAGACTTTAACCCCAATTGTTGAGGGTTCAACATAATATTATGAAATCACATAAATCATTTTCATGGCTATGCAGCTAATAAGCAATAAAATTAAATAGGCATAAGCACCATTCCCCAGCACTGAATTCTGACTGCCACACAGATTTAGAGTCAATGTCAATCTTTTACTTGACATGCTCAACCCAGGACTGGGATTCTCAGAGAAAGGGGTCGGGTAACAGTGTTTGGTCCACGTGATACATCTCAGAAATTCCAGGGACATCAACAGCCAATCAGTGTTTGATCAACATGGCATGTCCAGGATTATCACTTTGGGTTGCTGAATTCTAGTCTAAAACAAAACAAAGCCTAGAATGTGTGGTAGATCATAGCAATAATGGCCCCCAATGAATCATGCCTTTCAGCACCCATGCAGTTGTATAGACTCCTCCCATACTGACCTGCAGCTGGGCCACGTGACTCACTTTGGCCAATATGACATCAGCAAACATAATGCAGTTGAAGGCGTAATAAATGCTTATGCATTGGAGCTTACCTTCTTGGAACTCTGAGACCACCATGCTGGATGAAGAACCAAACAGAGAGAAAGGCTGAGTCATACCTGCTGAGCACAGACACTGGCCGACCCAGCAGTTAACTGCAGCTTCATGAGTGAGCCCAGGCAAGACCAGTAGAAGAACTGCCCAGTCAAGCAAAGAGTTACTGAGAAATAAAAAGTCTTTGTTTTAAGCCACTAAGTGTTTCAGGGGGTGGGGGGTGGGGTATTATGCAACAATAGGCAACTGACACAGCAGAGCTCTTGATGCTGACCCACCTGGACGACTGCCATTACTATCTTTGTAGGGCCCAAGGAATTTGGGGTCCTCAAGCCAAAAAGCCTGTATCCCAGAGTTTCTCTTGAAGGACTGGAAATCCCGACCCCTCCTTCAGGATTTGGGTTTCATTTAGCTCTTCCTGTGTAAATGACAAAGGTACCATCTCCCTCCCTGCTACGCAGTGGGTTTCATGTATCTTCCATCTTAGTCTTCACCTCTGCTCTGGATGCAACTTCCTCAGCCTAACATGGTAGACAGAGGACAGGGCAGTGGGGCCAGCTCTGTTTGTTGGCACACACATGGGATGGATGTGCTTAACAATGCAATACTCTGTGACTCTGGAACATTCTTCTGTCTTTCAAACCCTAGCCTTCCTCCACATGGTTGTCTGGTGATTTGGTTTTGGTGACTGTTGAGAGAAGGGCTTAGGGTTCATGCATTTAAAGAGCTCTGAGTGTCACTGACAGAAATACTGACCATTTTCTCAATCCATTAGAAAGAAAACCATGGTCCCCGGAAGCAAAGCAAGAATAAATCATGCCAGAAATACCTCATCTATCTCCTCAATGGGTTCATTAGACTGAGAAGCTTCAAAGATAGGAACTGTCTGGACTCCAACGAGCATTCAACAAGCCTCTCATATATACCTTTACTAGTACCCTAGGGAAATGTTGGTTGAGTGTCATGGTGGTTTGAGTTTGCAGAGGTTCCGAGAGAGTTTCAGTTAGCTGAATCCTCCCCAGTCCCCCTAGGATGCCATCATCTTGGTGACTGACTACAGTTGACCAGCCTACCAAAAGTGGTTTCTTCTCC